AAAACCCATCTATCTCTTCAGGCAGGCTTTTAACAATTATAACTGAATCCCCGAACCCCATTTTAGTAGATAATTATAATATTTTTTGTTTTCATGTTTTAATCTTTTAATTGTATTTTTAATATATTCTATTTTAATAAGAAGCTGAAGGCATATACCAAGATCCAAGTCTATAGAGTGTCTGTGTCCTGAGTACACTCCTGTACTGCAGTGAGTCCTGGACCCTTTGTGCACGGCAAGAGAGGATGCTGAACATGTCCATATGCGTTCTCTCCTACGCATTTTTTGTATCTCCTGGCAGGTGATACCAAATAGAGTAGTCCTAGAATAGGCTGGAACTTTTAGCATGTATAAATTACTGAAACACCAATGTCTATGTTGGTTCGGGTGACTGATGGTTGGATTCCAGAAGATCTCCTGTATGGAAAATTAGTGCAGGAAAAGTGCCCCAGAGGGAGACCATAACTATGATACAAGGATATCTACAAGTGGGATCTGAAGGCCTTAGGAATGGACCTCAACAGATGGAAAACCTTGACCTGAGCGTTCAGCCTGGAGGCAGGTGGTGCAGCATGGCCTCTCCCAATGAAAATGCGTAGTGGGAAATTGCATTATCCTGAGCCTTGTTTAAGGTGTGGAATTCATTACTGCAAGACTAGTACTGGCTACTAGCATAGACAGTTGTGAAAGAGGCTAGGCATATTAATGATCATGATCCTCATCATATTACAACTGCAGAGCTGGAAGGGACCCTCCGGATCACTGAGTCCAGCCCCTGTCAAGGAGGCACAGTGGGGAATCAAACTCGCAATCTCTGGCTCCACAACCAGATGTCTAAACCACTGAGCTATCTGGCTCAGTGGTTGGTGTGGGGTTTTTTGGGTTGTTTGGCCATGTTCTGAAGGTTTTTCTTCCTAACGTTCCACCAGTGTCTGTGGCCGCCATCTTCAGAGGACAGGAGCTAGAATTCCATCAGTGTTCTGGTGTAGTGTGTGGGATTGTTGAGTGTTTGTAGCTGCAGGATCAGGGTTTCTGTTATTTTCAAGAGATTGGGTGTTTCCTGTGATGAGGGTGTTTTTGTTATGGGTGTTCTTTGTGAAAAGGGGAGAAGATGATCTGTCGCTGTGATTGATGGGTGTCATTGGCTAGTCTTTTGTATGCAGTGACAATTCATCTGGCAATTCATCAATAAGGCTATCAAGTTCCTTTTGGTTCTGATTAGGTAAAGGTAAAGGTTTCCCTTGACATTTAGTCCAGTCCTGCCCGACTGTAGGGCGTGGTGCTCATACCCGTTTCCAAGCTGTAGAGCCAGCGTTTTGTCCGTAGACAGTTTCTGTGGCCAGCGCAACTAGACATGGAATGCCGTCATGGTGGTACTTATTTATCTACTTGCATTTGCATGCTTTCGAATTGCTAGATTGGCCGGAGCTCGGACAAGCGACGGGAGCTCACTCCATCACATGGATTC